TCTTTGGTCTGGGTCACCTGGTGACGCGTTTGCGTTTCACGTCTGGGGCTGCCTTGCTCACGTTCGTGCCTCTGGCACGGACAAGCTCACTGCCCGCACCCTTCCCTGTGTCTTCCTCGGTTTCCCCCTTGACACGTGTAACTGGCACTTCTACCACCTGCCGTCTCACCAGTTCTTTCACTCCCGCGACGTCACCTTTGACGAGTCCATCTCCTTCTACTGCCGCTTCCCCAACCGAGGTCCTTTGGTTACCCCCCCCTTGTTCCTGGTCACCCCTTCCCCGGTAGTCCCTAGCCCTCCCCCTCCCCCTCCCCGTCCTGCCCCCTCTGGTGTATCCCACATCACCCCCCTTCCGTCGGTTGTCCCGATTGAGGAGTCTGCTGACTCTGGTGGTCCTGCGGCGAAGTCCTCACCGCCTGCCTCTCCTCAAGTGTCTCCTCCTCTGCCGCCTCCGCCGCCGCCGTCGCCACCACTGTGGCAGCCGTCGTCACTGCCGCCGCCGCCGCCGCCGCCGTCGTTGCAGCCGCCGCCGCCGCAGCCGTCGCCGCAGCAGTTCGTTGACTCTGGGGGTGCTGGAGGTGGGGTGGGTATTAGTCGTGGGACTCCTGTCGCGGCTTGTCCCGGTGGGCCTGGGGGTGGTACCGGTGCTCGAGGGGTTCTGAGCTCTGGGGGTGTTCCTTCTGGGGGTGCTGGAGTGGAGTGTTCTGGAGGTAGCCGTCCAGCAGCTTGCGGTCCCGGTGTCGGTGTCGCACTGCCACAGCAGCAGTCCCCGCCGGTGTCAGATCTTCGCCTGCTCGGCCTTCTGTCCCCTGACCCCGCGTCTGTGCCTTCTCCTCCTCCTGTCTACGGCCCTGTGTTCCCTCCTCCGGACTCGTCTCCGGCTCGTTTCCCTCCTCGTTCCCCCCTTGTGTCCCCTCCTCTGTCTCCGGACCCGATGCCTCCATCTCACGTCTGGTCACGCCGTCCCTCCCGTGCTTGCCCTATCTCCCCGGTTCCGCGCTCTCACCCTATGTTGCTTCGTTCCCACGCGTCTTGTCCTCCCCTCCTCCCGTCGCCTCCTCCGTCCTCCCTTGTCGTTGCGCCCCCCCCTCTGTCTGACTACCTTCGTGCCGCTTGTCCTCTTGTTCCCCGGGTCCTTGTCTCTCTCGTTACAGACCTGTCTATTCCAGTTTCGCGTCTTGACGCTCTTGTCGCTGCGGTTGCTGACTTCGCCTCTACCCGCCGCCTTGAATACGCCACCGCTCTGGTCTCTGACCCTGCCTGTCCTCCGTCTGTCGGGGGTGCTCCTGCCCTCGGCAGTGACGTCGTGGAGGACCGCCAGTACGAGCTTGCTTTCCTGTCGGGGGCTGCTCCCCATCTATGCTCCATGCTTTTAGTCCCTGAGGGTGACCCCGACGCTTTCGACATCCCGACCCCTCGCACTTACGCTGAGGCGGTCTCAGGACCTTGGGCCTCTCAATGGATAGCTGCCATGGAGCAGAAGATGGCATCTTGGAGATCCAGTGGCACCTACGTCGACGCTGTTCTCCCACCTAGGGTGGACGTAGTCGATGGCCGCTGGTTCTTCATGGTGAAGCGCCCTCCTGGAGAGCCGCCTGTGTTCAAGGCGTGCTACGTGGCTAGAGGTTTCAGTCAGTGTGAGGGGGTGGACTTCTTTCAGACCTTCGCTCCGACCCCGACGGTGCTGCTACACGTAGCAGCTCAGCGTGACTACGAGCTTCACTCCCTCGACTTCTCTACCGCATTTCTTCAGGGCAATCTACACGAGCAGGTCTACCTGCGCGACCCTCAGGACTTCACTGGTACCTTCCCCCCCTGGGACCCAGTGGCTCCTGCGGCGCCCCGTCTATGGCCTGCGGCAGGCTCCCCGTAAGTGGCACGACACGCTGCGTGCTACGCTTGCTGACCTGCGGTTCTTTTCGTCCTCTGCAGACCCCTCGCTCTTCGTTCGTGCTGGCCCGACTCCGTTCTACATCCTTGTATATGTAGACGACCTGGTCTTCGCCACGGCAGACAGGGACGCACTGGCCTCTGTGAAGGCAGAGCTGCTGAAGAGACACACCTGCACTGACCTTGGAGAACTGCGCCACTACCTTGGCTTGTAGATCTCCAGGGACACAGCAGCGCGCACCATCACTTTGACTTAGTCACACTTGGTGCGCCAGGTCCTTCAGAGGTTCGGCCTTCAGTTCTCCTCCGCACAGCCCACTCCTCTGTCACTAGACCACAGGCTCTCCGCTCCAGTTCCTGAGGAGTCAGTAGAGCCCAATGGTCCTTACGCAGAGCTGGTGGGTTGCCACATGTACTTGATGACTTGCACTCACCCAGATCTCGCATACCCTCTCAGCATCTTGGCTCGCTTTGTGGCTACAGGCAGACATCGACCTCAGCACTGGTCTGCCGCTAAGAGCGTTTTGCGTTATCTTGCTAGTACATCGGGCATGGGGTTAGTGCTTGGCGGACGCAGGCCAGTGGTTCTTACTGGACACATAGACGCTTCTTGGGCAGACGACGCCGAGACCCTCAGGTCCTCGCAGGGCTACTGCTTTAGCCTTGGTTCAGGTGCCGTCTCGTGGAGAGCTACCCGCTCCTCGTCGGTTGCCCAGTCCAGCTGTGAGGCCGAGATCTACACCGGTGCCATGGCGGCACAGGAGCTCCGCTGGCTGACCTTCTTGCTCACTGACTTAGGTGAGCGGCCTAGCTCTGCCCCGGTCCTGTACGCTGACAACAGTGCCATGATCCTCCTGTGTTAGGAGCCTCGACTCAAGGGCAGAGCGAAGCACATCCAGCTGCGGTACTTCCTCCTGTGTGAGCTCCACCACCGCCGCCAGGCTCGCGTAGTACACTTGGCCTCAGGTGCCAACACGGCTGATATCTTTACGAAGGCGCTTTTGCCTAAAGATCATCAGAGGCACTGTGTACAATTAGGTCTCGAACCTGTAGCCTCTCACTTGCTAGGGCCTTGACTTTGTACTGTCCTTTATATATATACCTACCAAGTGACGCGACAAAACCTACCAAGTGACGTGATAGCACAGAGTGGCTGAGGCGAAAGCAGGGAGGAAGCAGCGAGGGCAGGGGAGGGAGAGCGGAGTGAGTGCACATGAGGGAGAGGGGAGTGAGCGCGCGGGAGGGAGAGCGGAGTGAGTGCGCGGGAGGGAGAGCAGAGTGAGCGCGGGAGGGAGAGCACAGGGAGCGCGTGGGAGGGAGAGCAGAGTGAGCGCGTAGGAGGGAGAGCGGAGTGAGCGCAGGAGGGAGAGCGGCGTGAGCGCTCGGGAGGGAGAGCGGTGTGAGGCGCGCGAGGGGGAGCGGCGTGATCGCACGGGAGGGAGAGCGGCGTGGGAGGGAGAGCGGCGTGAGCGCGGGAGGGAGAACGGCGTGCTTGCGTGGGAGGGAGAGCGGCTTGATCACGGGAGGGAGAGCAGCGTGATCACGGGAGGAAGAGCAGCGTGATCACGGGAGTGAGAGCGGCTTGATCGCGGAAGGGAAAGCAGGGGCAGCGGAAGGGGAAAAAGGAAAGGGGTGAGAGCAAGGGCAGGGGTGAGAGAGAAGAGTGAGAGCAGGGGAGGGGGAGAGGATTGAGAGCGAGGGAAGGGGAGAGGGGTGAGAGTGGAGAAAGGGGAGAGGAGAGAGAGCAGGGGAGAGGGAGAGGAGTGCGAGCAGGAGAGGAGAAGAGTGAGATCAGGGGAGGGGGAGAGGAGTGAGAGCAGAGGAAGGGAGAAGAGTGAGAGCAGGGGAAGGGGAGAGGAGTGAACGTTGTGACAGGGAAGATGAGAGAGATCAGGGTAGTGGGATAGGAGTGCAAGCAGGGGAGGGAGGGAGGAGAGAGGGCATGGGAGGGAGAGAGGGAGTGACAACAGGTGAGGGGGAGAGGAATGAGAACAGGGGAGGGGGAGAGGAGTGCGAGCAGGGGAGGGAGGGACGAGCGAGGGCAGGAGAGGGAGAGAGGGAGTGAGAGCAGGGGAGGGGGGGAGGAGTGAGAGCACGGGAGGGGGAGAAGAGTGATAGCAGGGGAGGGGAAAAGGAGTGAGAACAGGGGAGGAGGAGAGGAGATCGAGCAGGTGAGGAAGAGAGGAGTGCGAGGTGGGGAGGGAGAGAGGGAGTGAGAGCAGGGGAGGGAGAGAGGAGAGAGAGCAGGGGAGGGGGAGAGGAGTGAGAGCAGGGGAAGGGGAGAAGAGTGAACGTGGGGAAAGGGGAGAGGAGTGAGAGCGGGGGAGGGGGGGAGGAGTTTCACTTATGAGTGCACCAGGAGATGCTCTAGGCCCACTGCATGCCTTCCAGGTGAAGTCAAGGGGCACGTGCCAGGTGAGAACCTCAGAGAAGGCACCCTGCCTCAGAGTTTTGCCACAGTGTAAATGGCACATGTGCATAGTCACACAGCTGCAAAAGATGTGGGCAGGGCAATACCAGGTTAGCACTCACTCTGCCTGACCTTCCCCACTCTCCCCTTCCCCCCCTCTCACTCTAATAGGAGCACCCCCTTACCTTCCCTTTCCACCCCCTCGTACCCATCTGGAGTGCAGTGGACGGGAAAGCTTGCACCCATAGCACTTGTGATGCTGCGGCGTCTCCAACCCCCCATCCCGTCTCCTGCCCCATAAACCCTCTCCCACCCCATTGAGCCACTCCATCCTCCCTGTTTCTCTCTCCCTCCCTCCGTGTGTGCGCAGCTGTCGCCGGACATCCCGTTGTCACACAGAAGAAACTCACTCAAGGTGACAACCCACCCTGGCGGGAGACTCGACGAAGGAAGTTAGAGGAAGGCCCTTGGTGGTTGGAGACAAAGTGGGAAAGGCAATGGGGAGGGGGACACGACATGCAGACCAATTGATGGTCGGGCGGAGAAACAAGGCAGCCAAGAGGCACACAGTGTTTGGTTAGTAGAATTGCCGTGCCACAAACACGTAGGCGCGGACTGATGATCAGAGTTGTGTTGTGTTTGCGACCAACATTACCTAGAATAGGTTTGTCGATTATGAGCTTTCTGTTTACACTGTTTTGAGTGTCCAAGTTAAATACACACATTGGTTTTACAGTTCCTCAAGCGATCCACCTCCCTATTGTTTCTCTGCTGCCTCGTCACCTGGTAGTTTTACATCACCAGCACCCCATCAATCTCTTCATGACTCATAATCGCCCAATTCGGCCATGACCTCTGCTGCATTGAGTTGAACACTATCGCAGGCACGCAATCGTGGCTGGGAGAGGGGGAGAAGTGAGAGCTGGGAAGAGGGTGAGTAGCAAGTGAGGGATGGGCAGAGAGTGAGGGATGGTCAGGGAGCATGAGATCAGGGAGGGAGTAAGAACAAGGGGGAAGGGAGAGAGAGGGGGCAAGAACACATGGAGGAAAAATGCAGGGGGGGAAAATGTAGGGGGGAAGAATGCAGAGGGGAAGAATGCAGGGGGGAAGAATGCAGAGGGGAAGAATGCAGGGGGGAAGAATGCAGAGGGGAAGAATGCAGGGGGGAAGAATGCAGGGGGGAAGAATGCAGGGGGGAAGAATGCAGAGGGGAAGAATGCAGAGGGGAAGAATGCAGGGGGGAAGAATGCAGAGGGGAAGAATGCAGGGGGGAAGAATGCAGAGGGGAAGAATGCAGGGGGGAAGAATGCAGAGGGGAAGAATACAGGGGGGAAGAATGCAGGGGGGAAGAATGCAGGGGGGAAGAATGCAGGGGGGAAGAATGCAGAGGGGAAGAATGCAGGGGGGAAGAATGCAGGGGGGAAGAATGCTGAGGGGAAGAATGCAGGGGGGAAGAATGCAGAGGGGAAGAATGCAGGGGGAAAGAATGCAGAGGGGAAGAATGCAGGGGGGAAGAATGCAGGGGGGAAGAATGCAGGGGGGAAGAATGCAGAGGGGAAGAATGCAGGGGGAAGAATGCAGGGGGGAAGAATGCAGGGGGGAAGAATGCAGAGGGGAAGAATGCAGGGGGGAAGAATGCAGAGGGGAAGAATGCAGGGGGGAAGAATGCAGAGGGGAAGAATGCAGGGGGGAAGAATGCAGGGGGGAAGAATGCAGAGGGGAAGAATGCAGGGGGGAAGAATGCAGAGGGGAAGAATGCAGGGGGGAAGAATGCAGAGGGAATAATGCAGGGGGGGAGAATGCAGAGGGGAAAAATGCAGAGGGGAAGAATGCAGAGGGGAAGAATGCAGAGGGGAAGAATGCAGGGGGGAAGAATGCAGAGGGGAAGAATGCAGGGGGGAAGAATGCAGAGGGGAAGAATGCAGGGGGAAGAATGCAGAGGGAAGAATGCAGAGGGGAAGAATGCAGAGGGGAAGAATGCAGAGGGGAAGAATGCAGGGGGGAAGAATGCAGAGGGGAAGAATGCAGGGGGGAAGAATGCAGAGGGGAAGAATGCAGGGGGGAAGAATGCAGAGGGGAAGAATGCAGGGATGGGGATGAAAGCAGGGAGGCAGAAAGCAGGGAGGAAGAAAGCAGGGAGGCAGAAAGCAGGGAGGCAGAAAGCAGGGAGGCAGAAAGCAGGGAGGCAGAAAGCAGGGAGGCAGAAAGCAGGGAGGCAGAAAGCAGGGAGGCAGAAAGCAGGGAGGCAGAAAGCAGGGAGGCTGCCGTCACGAAAATGTGCGACGCTGAAAGTTGCAGGGGGGAAGCTTTTCTGTGGAAATAAAGCAACTTTATCCTGGTCCATGAAAGTTGTTTATATGTTGTCAATCAAAGTTTCCTTACAGCTCCCAGGGCATGGCTGCGGCAAAGTTGCGCCACGCAATCTGGAAAGCTACGAGATGTGTGCGGGGAAGCAACAATCAGGTGGATACACAAAGTACTTCACACAAACCTTAATGCTGTTTCCAAGCAGCTCCCATGGTACATGCGGGAGGTACTGAATGTCTACTAAACATATTCTGCCACGTTGCAGAAAAGCTGCCACATGAGTTACGCCAAAGCTACGGAACAGGCGCTAAAAAGAGACCAAGAAGCTGAAGTTAATAATGCTACTAGCAACATGGGTGTTACAATCACGTTACCAAAAAGCCAACAACACGCGACCCCACACTATCCGCCCCATGCCGCCCGGGGCTGTCTCATGCCATCCTGCCCGTGCCTAGCAGCCCTCATAGTGCGCAATGGACGCCACTGCAGCAGAAATCGTGGCAGTCCACGATTTCTGGAAGCACCCAGGTCCATCACGAGGGTCCTCAGGGTGCGGTCAGCCGTGCTCCGCTTAGCGAGCCTCCGGCGCCGCTGGCTTCAGCTCCTCGAGTCCGGAAGCACTCAGGTAGAGGCCATGGCTGCCCCACTTCCAGCAGCCCTTGGCATGGTCGAAGGTGGGGTTGTGGGTGCCAATCGCATCCACGATTGCCTCCTTGGCCAGCTGATGCAGCTGGGTCATTGCAGCCACGTTGTCGCAGGCAGAGTTGGAGAGCGAGGGCTTCCCCCCGTTCCAGTTCTTGATCGACTCACCAATCTGTATGATTGGGAGGGGGGAAGAAGGGGGAGAGGGCGTTGGGGGGTCGGGCTTGGCGTAGGACCCGTTTTCAGGGGGCAGGAAGGAGGAGGAGAGTTTGTCATACCCTATGTAACTAAGTAGCGACGGGAATGTTGGGGGTTTTTAATTTCAAGGCACTGTATGTTACAGGATCGCTGAAATAGGGAATGGTGGGGTATGCCACAGGAGGTTTGTGCATTGATGCGTTAGCAGATGGGGCGAGTTTGGCGAGCCTGGCATGGCGCACACCTGCTCGATGGATTGCGTTTCGTGCCAGATCGGACGGCTGAGAGCACGATCCTGTTAGAGGTGCGTCGACCAATAGATCATGGTGTTGGCGAGGTCAGCGAGGAGTAACCTGGCTTTCTGGGTGCTGCGAGGGTCGCAGCAAATCCATTTCGCAAACCCCACAAAGTTGGAAACCACCCTGTTAGATTTTTTATCCGTCGAGATCACCCTTTAACACTAAGTTACCCCGTCATGAGAGTGGGCGCTTTCTTTTTGTATACTGTCCATCTCATTTCGTCAACTGCCCCGTGTCATAAATTCAATCTTTCCGCAGTTCCCCTTTAAAGTGTCATGCGTAGGTGAGCTGTTGGTGTTTCGCAACGGCACAGTGGCGTAACAATCACTGGGCATGCACTTTTTCTTACAGGTGAACTTTCCCCTCGCATGTGGGGTGTTTTTGGGATGATCGACGTCGTCAATCCGACACTGTTACGCATGAAAACCAACTGGTGTTGAGGGGAGGGCCACAAATTTTTCAGCGCGGCGCTGGAATATATCCCAGCAGCCTCCTCCACGCACTCCCGCCTCCGTCCTCCTCACTCCATTCCTCCAGTCCCGTCACCTCCTCCCTGTCCTCAACCCCTCCTTCCCCCTCCTTGTCCTCTCCCTTTCCTACCTCCATCGCAAAAAAACCTCATTTCCGTTTCCGGTCTCGGTTTGGATATTTGGTTCTCTCGGGGTTGGATTTCAGGCCTTTTTTTCCGCAGCCAAACCGCGGCTCGGTTCTGTCAGTTTTCCGTCAGAATTGCATGAGCGGAAATTTCGGGTCGACGTTCGCCCGAAATGTCTTGGAGGCGACGTGACGAAATTGGAGCTTTGAATGGGTTACATCGCCACATGGTTCGTCAGTTCGCGAGCGGAAATTTTCCGTGCAAATTCAGGCAGTTTTTTCGCGCGTGGCCCATGTGTGCGCGCTTTGGGCTGCCTATACCCCATTTGAAATCACTCCTGCTATTTTATTGCAACAACATATGATATAGCATTACATTTATTCAGGATTCCTATATATATCTACATGTGATACCTATTCAAGAGAAAAACGCACGTGTCATGGAACGAGAGGATCACATGCACGTGGCGCAAAATGTCTTTGATTGGAACTACATGGTAACCCTCGTCGTCCTCCCTCCAGCGAAGGCGCTTGCAGCGCGTCGCATCGTCCAACCCTCCAGCGAGCCACAAGCGGACAAATGCCATATCCTCCCTTTCTCCCCTGCACTTGAGATGGAAGAGAAGGAACAACCTGCCATACACCTCCTCTCCATCAAGCAGCAGCGCCACGTCCGAATACCAACGCTTCTTGTGGCACTCCGGGGTTGCCCTGACGAAATGCGCCACTCGAGCACCACGCTCGTTGAAGGATGCTGGCACTGCCAATGACGTGTGAGCCTGCATGGATGTGGGTTAGGGCAGCTGTAAATTTCCTATTTTTCTTGAGGTTTACAGCGAGATAACGACGTAAAAGAAAGGAACTTACCCGCACTTTGGTGGCGCTCACTCCATAGCGCACTAAGGCACCCCCAAATGCCTGGTGCGCTTGAGGGTGTTGCTGAGCCCACTTCTCAAAGAACCAGTTCTTCTTGACTGGCTCAGTGGGAGGTGTAACCAGGATGGTGTATGCCTCCTTGGTGAGGACTCGCTTCCCGGTGTCCATGGCCTACGCGAGCGCACAATGGTTGTTAAGTTCATGTGTTAGTGTATTGCAAGCATCTTTTTATGGTTTGTACCTTTTGCATGCATGTGTCACGAATGCCCTCTTCGTTGTCGAGCGTCAGGTACGCAGCCCGCCTCTCATGATGCTTCATGATCTGCGCATCGACATTCCGCTTGTTTGAGCGGCGGTAGATGCGCTTAAGGAGCGGGCCGTGGAGGTGCTCGAACATGTTGGTCGAGTACTCGGATACGTGACCCGCTCGGCGAATCGCGTCGGGGTAGTGCGACATCAAGTGTGTCTTGATGATGCACCACGACGATCTCTGCGAGGGGAATGCTTTCTGCAGCTTGGTGACCAACCTGGTGTTAGGGATTTCACAAGTGTTTATGACATAAAGATTGGTCCTACCTAGCAGGTGTTGAAGCATAGAGGGTGTTCAATATCCACCAGAGTTTCAATCACGTCAAACGCATGGCAATTAGGCTCCTTAGCAGTTCACATCCAGAAATACCTGAGGGTCAACCCCTCGAGCTGCAGCAGAGAGCCCTCTGTGTGCCCTGGCACACGGCAGCAAAGGAGGTACCACTCCAGGTACAGCCGGAGTGCCTCCATCTCATCCGGCGTCAGCTTGTCCGCCACGATGAAGACGAGCACCTGGAGTTGGGAGTTTCGAGGGAGATGGGGCATGGCAGTGGGAAGCACAGAGGGAGATGGGGCATGGCAGTGGGAAAAACACAGGGAGATGGGGCATGGCTGTGGGAAAAACAGAGGGAGATGGGGCATGGCTGTAGGAAAAACATAGGGAGATGGGGCATGGCTGTGGGAAAAACAGAGGGAGATGGGGCATGGCTGTGGGAAAAACAGAGGGAGATGGGCCATGGCTGTGGGAAAAACAGAGGGAGATGGGGCATGGCTGTAGGAAAAACAGAGGGAGATGGGGCATGGCTGTAGGAAAAACAGAGGGAGATGGGGCATGGCTGTGGGAAAAACAGAGGGAGATGGGGCATGGCTGTAGGAAAAACATAGGGAGATGGGGCATGGCTGTGGGAAAAACATATGGAGATGGGGCATGGCTGTAGGAAAAACAGAGGGAGATGGGGCATGGCTGTGGGAAAAACAGAGGGAGATGGGGCATGGCTGTAGGAAAAACAGAGGGAGATGGGTCATGGCTGTGGGAAAAACAGAGGGAGATGGGGCATGGCTGTAGGAAAAACAGAGGGAGATGGGGCATGGCTGTGGGAAAAACAGAGGGAGATGGGGCATGGCTGTAGGAAAAACAGAGGGAGATGGGGCATGGCAGTGGGAAACACAGAGGGAGATGGGGCATGGCTGTGGGAAACACAGAGGGAGATGGGGCATGGCTGTGGGAAAAACAGAGGGAGATGGGGCATGGCTGTAGGAAAAACATAGGGAGATGGGGCATGGCTGTGGGAAAAACAGAGGGAGATGGGGCATGGCTGTAGGAAAAACAGAGGGAGATGGGGCATGGCTGTGGGAAAAACAGAGGGAGATGGGGCATGGCTGTAGGAAAAACAGAGGGAGATGGGGCATGGCTGTGGGAAAAACAGAGGGAGATGGGGCATGGCTGTAGGAAAAACAGAGGGAGATGGGGCATGGCTGTGGGAAAAACAGAGGGAGATGGGGCATGGCTGTAGGAAAAACAGAGGGAGATGGGGCATGGCTGTGGGAAACACAGAGGGAGATGGGGCATGGCTGTGGGAAAAACAGAGGGAGATGGGGCATGGCAGTGGGAAACACAGAGGGAGATGGGGCATGGCTGTGGGAAACACAGAGGGAGATGGGGCATGGCTGTGGGAAAAACAGAGGGAGATGGGGCATGGCTGTGGGAGAAACAGAGGGAGATGGGGCATGGCTGTAGGAAAAACAGAGGGAGATGGGGCATGGCTGTGGGAAAAACAGAGGGAGATGGGGCATGGCTGTAGGAAAAACAGAGGGAGATGGGGCATGGCTGTGGGAAAAACATAGGGAGATGGGGCATGGCTGTGGGAAAAACAGAGGGAGATGGGGCATGGCAGTGGGAAACACAGAGGGAGATGGGGCATGGCAGTGGGAAACACAGAGGGAGATGGGGCATGGCTGTGGGAAATACAGAGGGAGATGGGGCATGGCTGTAGGAAAAATAGAGGGAGATGGGGCATGGCTGTGAGGAGCAAGTGCTGGAGTGAGGAGCGTACTAAGGGTTGAAGGGAGGAAGCATATGGTAAGGGCAAATGTATGGGAAAAGGGGCGCAGCAGAGGCATGGGAAGACAACAGCAGGAGGCATGGGAATAGGGGAGCCTGAAAAATCCTGGGAAGAGGAGCAGGGAAAACAAGGGAAGACGGGAGCAGGAAGGGCAGAAGGATGCAGCAAACGTGGGGGATGGAAAGTGTGGCATGTGTAGACGCCAGGAGTCAGCTAGGGCAGCAGGAGGCAGCTAGGGCAGCAGGAGGCAGCTAGGGCGGCAGGATGCAGGTAGGGCAGCATGAGGTATGAGGGGCAGCACGAGTCGACAAGCAAGAGGAGGCAGGGGGGAAGGAGCTAGGGCAGCAGAAGTAGCTGGTGGCAGCAGAAGTAGCCGGTGGCAGCAGAAGCGCTGGGGCAGCAGTCGCACCTGGGGCAGCAGACGCAGCTGGGGCAGCAGAAGCTGCAGCGCATCAAAAGCGGCTGGGGCAGCAGAGCAGCTAGCTTAGGAGAAGTAGATAGGGGCAGGAAAAATCAGGATCAGCCAATAGTAGTGGTGGTAGCAGATGGTTGGGTGAAGGTGGCTGTATAGGGGTTTTAAGGGGCATTATGTAGGAATGTAAGCAGGTTTTTATAGTGCATCTAATAACAATTAAATATTCACATCGCATGAATTCGTAACATTGTAGCCAGCAGCGAACCACATGGTAACGACATAAAGAAGCTTTTACTGTAGCAGGCTGCCACGTCAGCTGCCAACTGAAAGTGGTCTCAACTAGGTGGCTACGACAAAAAGTGTTCATATTGTTTGAGTTATCTCAATTAAATAATGAACTAATCACACTCGAAACACTCACGACCAACACTCTCTGTCGTCACATTTTTTAGCCCGAAAAAGTTTTGCACCCAGGCGGAATACGCGTCGCGAATTTCAGCCCGAAGCTCGACATAGCCACGTGCGGGATGCAGTTGCCTTACTACAGTATTCCGAATACAGCCCGAAACTCGAAATGCTTTTCTGCCAAGCTTCGGCCACTTCAGCCGACCTCAGCCCAAATTTGGGCGAGGTTAGGTGGGGATGTTTTGTGATGTCCTCTTACTTCCTCTCCACCGCATCCCCCTCTCTCTAGCGCCGGATCCCCCTCTCTCTCGTCCCGCATTCCCCTCTCACTCGCTGCGCATCCCCCTCTCTCTCGCCGCGCATCCCCCTCCCTCTCGCTGCGCATCCCCCTCTCTCGCGCTCTGCATCCCCCTCTCTCTCGCCGCATCCCCCTCTCTCGCACTCTGCATCCCCCTCTCTCTCGCCGCACGTCCACCTCTCTCTCGCTCTGCGCCGTTGGTCGTGAATGCGTCACGGATATGCCCTGCGCAGTTATAACTCCCTAACTCGAGGGGCTGCCTCTCGTCTATTTCAGAGCCTTAGTTCGCCGACTTTGTGAAGAATCCTACGTATTCCTTACGCTTAGAGTAACGCATGGGCTTACCTGGAATGGCGCACCATTTTGCGATCCACCGATACTAGTGCGCGCGATTTTTTCTGTACAAAAAAACTTGGAAATCCGATATGCGTGTCACCTGCGGCATCGCAAAAAGGGCGAGGCCGTTTGGGCATGCTCGATTGCAGGTTCCGAGGGGTTACTCTCGGCTTTTTACCGAAGAGTAACTCCTGGGTAACTTAGCGTGAGCGCGATTCGAGGATCTATCCTCGGCGGGCGGTGCTGTCAGCTTCCTCGCCCGCTATTGGTTCAGTTTCGAACTTACGGGAGGGTATGGTTTTGCGAATGCATTGAGATGAGCTCGCATTTCTGGTTTCTACCGCAGCTGTTACTATCGCGCGGAATTCGAGGGCTGTTCAGTTTTGAAGTCCTGATTCGTAATTGTTACGAGCCCAGAAATGGTGAACACAATTTTGTACAGTAATAAGAGTCAATGTACACGTCTGTATTGTTTCGCAGTATGTATAGCTTGAAATGTGATGTGTTTCTGGATTGGCATTGTTGGGCTGAGAAAAGGCCTTAGGATCTTTCCTGAGACTAAGTCCCAGTTGTAAAAGGAGACTTGAGTAGTGCAGTGGAAGTTGAGTTTACGTATCCTGTCGTGGGAACACAACTGGAGCAGTAGAGTTTTCTGCACGCCTCTCTCGGGGCGTATACAGTTCTTGTACGGAACTTGTCACCGAAGGAGCAGCTCGGCGTTCGATTATTTCACTCAAGTTTCACCCCACCCGAAACTGCATGGAACCATCTAAAAGGGGTATACACGGCAAAAGATACGATAACAGTGAGTAAAATACTTTCGCAGCTGACAAGTGTGCAGATGATGACAAACGAGAACGTCATGGACTACGTTAATCGTGTCCGTACACTCCGTGATCAACTGGAGAAAAGTGGGGGATACTTCCCTCGTGAGATGTACCTCACTGTCCTTCTGGCTGGTCTTGGACCCGAATGGCGACAGACGCGCGCCTTCCTGCGCATGAATCCCAACCTCTCCGAAGCTGAGATTTCTTCTTATCTTCAAGCCGAGCAGCAAGATCTTGATCTGCAATCACAACGCAACCAGAAAAGGGGGGTTCATTTAAGTTTTTACTCCAATCCAGAAACACAGCATCGACATCCACCAAAGTATCCGTTCTGCCATTTCTATAAGAAACCAGGACATACTTACCAAAACTGTCGCAGCCGTCATCAAAATCGTCGCAGCACTTCGCAGCCGTATTACCGATCGCAGCAGTCACCGAAGACACAACAGCCACAGCAGCAGTTAACGTCTCAGCAGCAGCAGATGCCGAAACCGCCGCAGAATCCATCGACGTCGCAGCATCGTCCGCCGGTCTTCGCATCTGGCACATCAGGAAAAGGAGTTTTCGGATGTGTCACTATAGTTGATGTTTCAGAAACAGATTTCGAAACATGACTTGAAGAAACAACAAGTGCTGAAGGCATTCCTTTACCGTTAGCTTACGCTAACCTTGCTCGCATCATTTCAGGATCAAATACCTGGTATCTCGACAGCTGCTGCGGATGGCATATGTGTTTTGCAGAAACCAGCTTCATCACAAATCAGCGTCCGCTTCGTCGTCCCATACCTGTCAAAGTCGCCAACTGACAAACGATAATGGCACGATCAGTTGGCAGTGTCATCCTCGAATCTATCGACACGAGATACTCACTTCATGTTATGAATGTTCTTATCGTCGCCGGTCTTGGCTTCAATCTTCTTTCCACCGCTCAACTCTTGGCGCACAAAATCCGCACACAAGGAAATTGTGAGACGATGGATCAAGAGCTCTGGCACAGTACAACTAATACCTACCTTGGTCGTGCCGCCACTCAACATGGCGTGTCGGTGCTTCAGTTCGCAGCACAGGGAACTTCTGGCGATTCTGAACGCGTCCTTGCCCTTGGTCCCTGGGATCATCCAGAAGACACAGATTATCAAAACGTGGATATTGATTTTCGAGCAACTACAGTACCAACAGCAGCAGCCGTACTTACCGCGTTAGAAACCTGGGAATTTAATACCGCGGATGAAAGCGCCACCGCATGGCGAACGTTTTATAATACCCGTGCCGCCTTCCAAGGAACTCCAGCACCACTTTGGGGAGAAATAAGTGGTCTTGCCACCGATGAACTTGACGTTGTTGAAGAAGCCGAACAGGAAGAAGTAGCTGAGCAGCCGAGTTCAACAGAAGTTGTTTTTGACATACCTGCCAAGCCATCAACTGAAGCAGCATCAGGAATTATACTTGCAACTGCAGCAGCACCACCACATGTCACGTTTCCTCTACACCGTTTCGTCGAAGGGGAACTTGACAAGTCGCCAGCACTTTCTCCTTTTCATCTTACTTTTTTTTTATACTAACGCCGATTTTTACCTGCGATCATCAGGAGACAAAGCCACAGAAGACATATGGCATCAGCGGTTAGGACATCCATCACAAGGGATTCTTAATCATTCAATCCGAGCAGCAGTTCTTGATAAAAATATTTTACTCTTACCTGATGGCACGGAGATGAAGCCGCTGTCTCGTCCGACGGTTTGCATCACTTGTCCAGTTGCTAACCTTACGCACGATCCGTTTCCAAGTCATTTTCCCGGCTCAACCCGTTATACACTGATGCAGAAAGTCTACAGCAACATACTCAACTTGTATGAAACAAGACCTAAAGACGAAAAGTATGTGATAACCTTCATGGAAGCGTCTACACGTTATGTCTGGACAGCTAACTTACCTGCGCGCCATCTCGCTCACTCCGTCTTTGTCGCATGGCTCGCTGTCGCTGAACGAGAGTCCGGAGTGAAACTGCAAGAATTTCAGAGCGATGGTGCAGGGGAGTACACCAGGAACACTTTCACAGACTACCTTCAGACACTCGGGTTCAAACGGAAGCAGTCTCTGCCACATGCACACCAACATATGGGGGTAGCAGAAAGGTTGAACAGGACTCTGCAGGAGAAGATGCGTGCTCTGCTGATGCAGGCAGCTCTTCCACTGCATTTTTGGCCGTATGCGATGGACCACGCTGTGCTGTTACACCATCTTCTTTCTTCAACGTCCCTGCCCGAGTTTTCTTCTCCACACCTGCAGTGGACACGAACAGTGGGAAGCACAAAACTTTTACGAGTCTTCGGGTGTATTGTACAGTTTCGTCCTCCAACCGCAGCACTCGGAAAATTTTCCGAACGAGCAAAATGGGGGGTACACCTCGGCATCGAAAAACAGTATCACGCGTGGAAGATTTTGGATCTTCGCTCCCATCAAATCGTTCCATCACGTTATTGTCTTTTCTATGAAAGACTCACCTTGCCCGTTTTTCTTGCCCACCAGGCAGCAGCTGCCAACCCCGCCAGGCTGTTCGAAGGCTCGCGTGCGTTTGCCACTGACGAGGCCGAAGCTGATGTACTGGACGAAGCAGTTTCTGAAGTTTCCGAAGCTGCCGCACCAGACGTTCCCGAACCTGTCACCTCGACCGGCATACCTCAGTTCATTCCTCTTGCAGATGCTGACCCGGATGATGTTCGCGAAATTCATTTCAGTTATGAACGCGATCGCCAGCAGCAGCTGATGCCCGTCGTCTGTGACGAAGCCGTTCGTGTTATACCTAACGAAATTGGGGGGGAAGAAGGAGCAGAAGAAAAATTCGCAGGTGCAAACGAAGAACGTCCGCGTTTTACAGAAACACGATTGCAGACACTGGGATTTGAAGTAGCAGTACAGCGCAACGACAGTAAGATACCTGAACCGAAAACCGTCCGACAAGCTCTCACGAGTCCTCATCCAGAAAAATGGCGTGAAGCCATGGACAAGGAGCTAGCAGCACTCAAGAATCGTGGAACATGGGATTTAATCCCGACTTCAGAAGTCAAAGGGAAGAAGGTGCTTACCGGAAAATGGGTCTTCCGCGTCAAGACTAATGCAGATGGGTCGTTTGAAAAGTTCAAATCACGATGGGTCGTCCGCGGATTCGAGCAGACGTACGACATCGAATATGAAGTAACATTTGCTCCTGTCGGCCGACATAAAAGCGTTCGGATTCTGCTTTGTGTCGCCGCCTGCCGTAATCTCCGACTTCGACAGATCGACGTCTCAGATGCGTTTCTCTACGCGCTTGTCGACGCACTCATCCTGATAGAGTACCCTCATTCTTATACTACTAACCCACCAAGCGTTTGCCGTCTATGGAAGTCCCTGTACGGCATTAAACAGGCACCACGACTCTGGCAGCAGTATCTTCATTCGCAACTAATCACTGCCGGTTTTCGTCAACTACCGCATGGTCAAGGAATGCATCGGCTGACCGACGGCAGCAACTACATTTTACTTGTTGCCTACGTCGACGACATCCTATACGTTAGTACTACGGATTCTCTTGCCGAGACCTTCATACTGAAATTACAGAAAAATCAACAGCTTACCGTCTCCGAAACAGTTTCACAGTTTCTTGGACTGAACATTACCTGCTCACCGACAACTATTCATCTCACCGCTTCGAAGTACGCAGCAACTCTCGCTGCCCGTTTCAACCTCATGCCTACTACAGTCTCTACACCGTACCGCTCACTACCGACTGACCACAAACCGAATACCGCACTGTTAACTTCAACCGGTTTACAGATCTATCAACAGCAGCTAGGCTGTCTACTTTTCGCAGCTGTCACTTGTCGTCCTGATCTAGCCTACGCGGCCAGCCAGCTCGCTCAGTTCCTACGCCGTCCTGAGGAGGAGCATCAGCTTGATCTACTTTGTGCGCTTCAATATTTTAACTCGACGCCTGACGTCGGATTAGTCTACAACGTCATCGGCTGTAAAACACTCTATCTACATGGTTTTGTCGACGCCGATCACGCTGCTGATTCTACTAATCGACGGTCGCGCACTGGGTTCATCTATCGACTGGAACCTATTGGACCTATCTCTTGGAACTCTACGAAGCTGGAGCTAGTTGCACTCTCCTCTATTGAAGCTGAG